CCCCCGAGTCAAATAGTATGGTGGCTGGGGTGGCGTTCACTAGGAAAGTTCCGGAGACTATGTTGCTATCTCCGACCCTGGCCTTGCTTAGGGTGAGGATCCTTCCCCGGGCAGTCGGCGTGATGGCCCGGCTCAGTGGGGTGGTTTTGGGGTTTTTAGGCTCTTTGGTGGGAATTGGGTGACTTCTTTCGGGCTTTCTTTTATACCCCAGTTGTGTCCCTTGGGGCGGGTTCGTTACCTGTTGTAGTTGACACGCCTTGGCGTAGGCTTCTCCGAGGGTCTTTGGTTCTTGGGCGGCCAAGGCCCTCTGGTGTTCGGGGTTAAGGCCTGCTAAGAATTTCCTGACTTTGATCCCCTCGGTGGATACTAGCTCGGGGGTGAGGCGAGCCAGTTGGCAGAATCGTTGGTAGTATTCTGAGACTGGGCTGCCCCTTGCCTTAGATGGAGGAATTCCTCGCGCGTGGCGGCTTTCAGATGGTTGGGGTAGAACCGTTCTCGTAACCGTGTTTTTAGGCCTTCCTAGTCAAATCCGGGGTCGTATTCGTACGTAGGTCCCTCACGGGCCCACCAGGCGTCGGCCTCGTGTCTGAAGTAGAAGGAGGCTATCCCGACTTGGCGGTGTTCGGGGCATTGGGTTGCCCTGAATACCCTGTCGAAGGTCTCAATCCATTCCTCGAGGGTCGTGGGGTCTTCGTCTCCCGAGAAGGTGGGCGGTTGGTGTGCCGAGACTTGGTGGTGGATGTCCAAGTTCTCGTTCGTTGGTAGGGGTTGAGGAATGACAGTGCTTAGTGCCTGGGCGATTTGGGCCAGGCGTTGTAGATTCTGAGTCAGGAGTTCCTGGGTAGGGCGTCTCGGTGTTCCTGTCGGTTTTTTCTTGGGTGCCATCCTGGTGGTTAAAGGTTGATATTATTTTGTGTTTTCACCTTGATGTAATAAGCGGAGAAGAGTTCTTAATATTAGAGGGGGGCGAAGTGAGGGGAGGTGATGTGTAGGTTTCTCAATCTTACCGCGCGTCCTAAGATTCCTGAGTCCTATGTTCCTAAATACCTAGAGTTCAAGCTTAATGTCCTAAAGTCCGGTCTTAAGAGTTTTATCCTAGGGTCAAACTTAGGCTCTGATACCAACTGTAATACCCCAGATTTTCAAGACATTTTAAACTTATATAATAAAGGTAATATCTCATAACATCCCAAAGTATATCATAAGTGTACGGGGTGCTATGCCACACCTGGGCTAGAGAACCCAGGTGCACAGGCTGTCTAACTAATATCCATTGAAACATAATGCATAATATGGCGCACAGGCCGAAAGGGAAACTAATCTATTTCTACGCTTCGATTCTAGCGCGCTCCAATGCTCTAGTCCTCTGTGCCTGAAAGCCAAATATATCTGTTCAGCGAGAGATGCTGGTAACCCACTCCAACGTGTTGGAATACAATACATATAGAGATATATATAGATATACGAAAACCATTTTGAACATGAAGATATATCCTACGAACTCTAGCTTTAAAACCGGGAATGACTCGACAGATAAGGCCAGACACAAGCAACAGTTATAACGAGCATATGCAGTTCACAACAGATAAGGCAGATAAGGCAAAGCATAAACAATAACCATAACTCAACATCAACAATCCCCAACATAATTCCCGTAGTCACATCCCCCAAGACACTCATGACCACCACTCATCCATATCTCAACACATAGCACACTTTATTGGCGCCACAGGACCAATTGCATGCCCTTACATGAGGGTCAGCGCATATAGCTCTGACACGGCCCCGCAACACCCTGCCCCGTATCGCAACACGGAGGGGTCGATCGCAACCGACCGATGAACCGCAGCTCATCATAGTGTTTGATCGCAACCAAACAGTGGACCGCAGCCCAAGAAAATGTCATCTGACCGCAGCCAGGCAAAAGGACGAACCGCAGCTCGTATAGAAACGTTTGATCGCAACCAAACGGTGGACCGCAGCCCAAGAGTATCAATCTGACTGCAGCCAGCTTCTGAACCGCAGCTCAGGATAACCAATCCGATCGCAACCGAATTGGGGTAGCACACACATAACACATAGCAAGCACATGCAACCCACATTACACATTGGGAAGGGGGAGAAAACGTATAACAAAACCTATGCGTGATCCATCACTTACTAAGAATAGTCCTAAGGGGTTCATACCTCTTCCACCTAGGTCAACGGGATACCAATTCAACTTGCATGCAATATAATAGACTCATAAACCTACGAACGGTACCCGAAACATCAAACTAGACATAGGCACGATAAACGGAGTCCGTTGGGACACCATGGGGAACGGGGAACGTCAAACGGGGAAGCCGGGGTCCCGGGTGGGACAATTTTCCAGCGGGTAGCCGGTGGGTGGTGGGCCACCCGCCGGCTGCCCGCCGGATTCTACTGTACCGGGCAGCGGGTCACCGGCGGGCAACTGCCCGCCCGCCGGCCACCCGCTGCCGGGCGGTGTTTTACGGTCATGGGTAGGTGGCGGGTCCCCTACCCCCCACTGACTCCTTTCACACACTTTACGCCCCGGAAACCGTTATGGAACCCGAAACCATGCTTGGACACTTTACAACACAATTAACGACAACACGTAGACAATTAACGAATCAAATACAAGAAACGAACGGCACATAACCTATCATGCTTTCCTAAATATAATCAACACCCAAACATCCGATTTCCCCACCCGATAATCCAAGCATAAGATTATACGATACAACCTAGGGTTCTAATCACTTTTATATCAACAAGAATACGGTTCGTCTTCTAATTGCAAGATTCGGTAAGAATAACACATAAGCATCAAGAACATCACACAATTATCAAGAACAACACATAATCATCAAGAATTCCATATAATCATCAAGAACACCATAATTATCAAGAATCTCCCAATATCAAGATTATCAAGATCCCTCATAGGATCATGACGTCAAGCATCAATAATAATCAACAGATCTCGCCATTCACAATAATATGGGGGAAACCCTAAGGGGGAATCATAACTATGAAAATAGGTTTTGTTGAGACATGGGTTACCTCTTAGCCTTAATTAGTTCCTTGGCTATGAAGGGTCTTTCTTTAAGCTTTCTTGCTTTCTTGCTTTCTTGCTTTCTTCTAAGGGAATTCTTGGAGCTCTCCTGGGGTGGTGGGGCGTTTAGGCGTGTGGGGGTTCTAGGTGCTCCCTAAGTTCTCTATTTATAGATCTAAGGGTTTATTTAGAGTTTAAGCCTATTGGGGTTAGGGGTTGGGTTTATATATTTGGGCCCATGGGCTACGGTGGCCTTTTTCCCTAATTTATCATTATAATTTATTCTTTCTCCTGGGCCATTAATTAATTAATTAATCAATTGGTTTTAGGACTCGTAACACGGGGTGTTACAATCCCATAGTCCAATAATTGTTGCTTCATCCACAAGATTTTTGCACAACAACTCCCAGCTGCAATATATTCGGCTTCGGCAGTGCTCGTAGCTATGGAGTTTTGCTTTTTGCTGAACCAAGAGACCAATCTTCCCCCTAAGAACTGGCATGTCCCTGAGTTACTTTTTCGGTCTATTTTACAACCTGCAAAATCTGCATCTGAATAACCAGTTAGTGTAAAATCTCCTTCTTTGGGATACCATAATCCCACATTGATTGTTCCTTTGAGATATCGAATTATCGTCTTGGTTGCAATCAGATGGCTTTCTTTGGGCTTGGATTGGAATCTTGCACATACGCCAACCGAGTAGGATATGTCTGGTCTGCTCGCGGTTAAGTATAGTAACGATCCAATCATCCCTCGATACATCGTTTGATCGACGTCTTTTCCTTCATCATCTTTATCCAATTTTTGAGATGTCACTAGTACAGAAACAGCCATTCGCGTCCAAAGTTCAGTCTAATTCGCGTCCAAAGTAGCTGGGACGCAGATGTCGGGGACGCTGATTGTATATACAATTAGCGTCCAAAGTAACTTTGGACGCGAAAAATGATAATTCGCGTCCAAAGTTGAAGAACTTTGGACGTGTATAGTATTTTTTATTAAAAAAATAAACACTATACGCGTCCAAAGTTCATGAACTTTGGACGCGTATAGTGTTTGTATTTTAAAAAAAAAAAACTATACGCGTACAAAGTTCATGAACTTTGTATGCGTATTATATATATATATTTTTTTTATATTTAAGATAAAAAATTGAAATCAGCACTAATACATAATATGAAAAACAATAAATTGTCATCTTTTGCGGCATTGAAATTTTAGGCGCAAAGTATATTTAAATCTAAAAAGATAATCTAAACATACTTGGAAAAATCTTAAGATCCACTTCTGAACCAGAAATTGACAGTGTCAAACAAAAATAAAAGTAAAAGCCTGAGCTTTTAAGTTTGTACTTAATACAATATTATCAGCAGCATTGCATTTATTATGCTTTCAAAAAAGAAATCTAATAACTAAACTTATAGACTCACTTTGATGAAGGATGAAAGATTGAGGTAGCAAACCATCCTTGTGTGCATCTGAGCTTTGCATATGTTTTCTGACCAAGCCAAAAGAATATTAAGCTTAAAAGCTCCATCTTCTTACCACATTGGAAAGCATATAAAAACTCATAACATGAAAGCACAATAGAAAATATTTCATCATCCATCACATAAACAAAGAACACAAGGTCAGAATTTTGGCCTTATCAGCAAATAGCTCGCTATCATGGATTGAACATAATTATACAAGTTCTCTAGATAATATATAACTCAAAATAAGAGAGAAATTTCATACTCTAAGTTGTTAAGAATCAAGATGTTTGAGAATCCTCTTCAGCTTGGCTTGGATAAACTCATATCAAGTCTCTACTGCCAAGTTTAATAGGAGAAAGTCAAATTCAAAGACTCATTTGTTGTCAATTCCAGAAGTTCCCTCAAAAACCTGGTTGTTAGAAAAATAAAACATGAAGCAAATGATCAATTACTTAGGTTTGAAGCATTCAATCAGCCTCATCAAGCACAAGAAGAGAAACTTGTCGAAAATTGATCCTCTTCATATCAAGGATGTCATTGAGCCGACCTGGAGTTGCCACAACAATGTCTGCTCCTCGCTCCAGCTCTTTTAACTGTGGACCCTTAGGAGCACCGCCATACAAGCACTGAAACAAAGAGATGAATCTATAGTTCATTCCACAATAATGAGAGTACATACTGACTAATCAATTGTCAACTTACTGTGCAAGAAACCCTTGATGATCGTCCAAATTTTAGTGCTTCATCATGTATTTGTGTTGCAAGCTCACGCGTTGGAGCTAAGACTAATACAGTTGGCCCATTCTGGGGATTATTGCGTCGTTGGGAAAGCTGGATAAATGCAGGCATAAGATAACCCATCATTTTGCTAGATCCTGTCTTGGCAATCGCTACAATATCCCAATTTTGTAGTGCAATGGGCCATGTTTGTGCTTGAATTGATGTAGGAGATGTGAATCCAGCAAAATGATTATGCAGGAAAATTAGAACCATAATTAATATCAACAAAACCAACTGGGGAGAGCATTCAAGCACATACAAGGATATCGTTAGAATTACTATAAGCCTGAGATTGGGAAATGGATCTGAACTTTGAGAATGAATAAATAGCTGACTAAACTGAAAATTGGAAAAGGATCCTAAAAGAAACTTGAAGGAATGCAGTTGCTTACAGAAGCAACTCAAGGCAACAAAAGAGAGCAATTAAAACAGAAGAGGCAGAGCTAATAAGCTAGAAATCCCAGATGTTCTGGGCCATTGTCTTCTTCTGCTTGTATTGTATTTGACTATCTCTTTTCGTGATCTACATTGATGGCTTTTATTAGCACAGAAATTCCAGAATCAACATGTGATTTTCCTGATAGCTTACCATTGATCTCATCTGCTATGACACTAACATGATTTTCTATAGCAATTGCAATAACTTCAGGCCTTTTGCTACTATATTTTCTCACTAATTTCCTTAAAACTTCAGATACAGTTCTTTCCATGCGGTGGAGAGGACAATTTATAGGACAGCTAGAGAGTGCAACATGTGCAGCTTTGTGGAGTGCATCCAAAAGTTTTCCTTTGTCAAGCCATAGACAACGAGTACTGATTCTTATTTTTCCTTTTATAGCTTTCTCAGATAGAGTATCAGTGGGTTGAGGACGTAAAATCTGCATACTGTAGCATAAATCAAGCTATCAGTATCACAAAGTAAAATATACACAAGCTGGATGCTCCAGAATGCTACCTGATCACTATTATACCATCTGATGCAATTCTCATTCTCTCATCAACACACAATTCAGCAGTTGTTCCAAATGCTTTGTCACCATCACTATACATTAACTGCAGTTTTGGAACTAAAACATTTATTTTTTTCCTTATTTGGAGAATAAAACCACATAGTTCTAAAGTGAATGAAGCAGGAAATTTATAAACAATTTTAGTTTGCACTTGCAGTCTTGCACTGACAAATTTATAAATTGAGGCATTATTTTAGGAAAATAAAGCTCCAGAAAGGGAGGATTGTTACTACTTAATCCAACTCTTTTAGGAAACTAAGCAGATCCTGGTAAGGCTGGCATTTAGTGTTTAAAATGTGGTATCTTAAGATTGTTACAGTGTTACAAATAGATGCCTTATGTGCATATCAGTTGATTCGCTCTTTTCAGTCTTTTTTTTGTTAACATTTAACCAAAAAGTTGCACAGAAAGACATGGCCACAGGCCACTACAAACCACACTAGTTTCCTTTATATCAATGTGGAATGTTGGTTCTTGGGGGATAAGCATTACAAATGAGGAATCAAGTTAAAACCAAATAAAATTTCTTCCATAAACAAAAGATGTGAAAATCAAAGAGAAATCTTGTTTCAGGTCTCTCTTATATGTTATGCTTCCCAATTTTATGAGGAAGCCCACAACATTTGTTGAGGTTTCTGTTGGAAACTTCAACTTTTCAAAGTCTAACAGACAGTAACATAAGCTATCTAAATAATTAGCCATCCAGTTTCAAATTAATAAGGGAAGAAAGTTGGAGAGTATAGACTGAGGCTCATAACTGCTACAAGAGAACCAGAACAGAGAAGAAAATCCATAAAGCTTATCTATCCAATCACATAATTATGCACTCAAAAGTTATTTGCCGAAATCACTGAGACATTCACTGTCATGAGAGCAGAAATTCCTCTATAGAACTAAATGCTATTAGAACTTCCTCATCTATATTTTAACTTTATAAATTATAATTATTCAACTTTCTCCATCACAATAATGCCTAACATATACAACAACACAACAAATCTAAACTAAAATAAACAATAAAAATATTAAAATATATTACAAATTAATAAAATAAAATAAAAACAAAAGAAAAAATACTAACCTGTAACGGCGGGGACGACAGCAGCAAGACTTGTGGCGGAGGGCATCGGAGACGATGGGGACGACGGCTGGACTGGACACCGATGCGGCGGCGCTGGGCTGGAGACTGGTGGCGAGGGGAGAACGCTTGAGACCGGCGGCGATGGAGGAGTCAATGAGCGACGGCGGCAGCGAGTGCTCTGTATCAACGACGATGGGGGCGATGACGATGGCTATGGAGACCACGAGCGGCGGCGGAAGATGGGGATTTGGAGTGGTGAAGACGAACGGGGCTGGTGGAGGCGAGGGTTTTGGAGAAGTCGTGACGAAGAAACTGATGAAGACGAACGGGTATAATCTTGGAACTCTAATAATAGGCATCCAAAGTTTCGTACTTTGGACTCTTATTATTTGGACGGGTTAATAATAGGCGTCCAAAATTCTATAACTTTGGACGCCAATTCTTTTTAATTTAAAAAAAAAATAAAAAAAAAATTATATAGTGGCATTTTAATTACAAAAATGCCACCGCATTACACTTTTGGCGTCTAAAGTTCAAACTTTGGACGCGAATTATTCAATTTTATTGATGTTTTTTGTACTAGTGTGTACTCATGGGAATTTTGACTGAGGATTTTCCATCTATGCCAAATTTCTTGATAAGATCTCTTGTGTACTTGGCTTGATTTATGAAAATTCCTTCTTCAAGTTGCTTGACTTGCAGTCCCAAAAAGTAATTTAATTCTCCCATCATACTCATCTCGAACCTGTTCTGCATGAGCTTAGAAAATTTCTCACATAAAGATTTATCAGTACTTCCAAAGATAATATCATCAACATAAATTTGTACTAATAAAATCTGATTATTTTCTTGAATTCTAAAGAGGGTTTTATCGACTAGACCTTTGGTGAATCCAAAACTAATTAAGAACATTGACAAGGTGTCGTACCAAGCTCGCGGAGCTTGTTTTAACCCATACAATGCCTTCTTTAATTTGTAGACTTGATTACCAACGTCTTTTACCTCAAAACCGGGTGGTTGTTCGACGTAAACTTCTTCTTCAAGTAAGCCATTTAGATATGCACTCTTTACGTCCATTTCATATACCACGAAATTCTTGTGCGCTACATATGCTAGGAATATCCGGATTGCTTCGAGTCGTGCGACGGGGGCGAATGTCTCATCAAAATCAATGCCTTCTTCTTGTGAATACCTGCAACACCCCGTGTTACGGCCCCTAAAACCATTTAATTAATTAATCAATAGCCCAAAAGAAAGAATAAATTATAACTGATTAGGAAAAAAGGCCCACCATAGTCCATGGGCCCTCATATATAAACCCAACCCCTAAACGCAATCCTTAGTCCCAAAAGGAATAGAATTAGCGAGCCTATAATATTAGTCCCTAATTAGGATTCCTAAATATATAAATAGGGGACTTAAGAGGCACCTATGACTCCCCACACGTCTAAACGCCCCACCACACCAGGAGAGCTCCAAGAATTCCCTTAGAAGAAAGCAAGAAAGCAAGAAAGCTTAAAGGAAGACCCTTCATAGCCAAGGAACCAATTAAGGCTAAGAGGTAACCCATGTCTCAACAAAACCTATTTTCATAGTTATGATTCCCCCTTAGGGTTTCCCCCATATTATTGTGAATGGCGAGATCTGTTGATTATTGTTGATGCTTGACGTGATGATCCCATGAGGGATCTTGATAATCTTGATATTGGGAGATTCTTGATAATTATGGTGTTCTTGATGATTATATGGAATTCTTGATGATTATGTGTTGTTCTTGATAATTGTGTGATGTTCTTGATGCTTATGTGTTATTCTTACCGAATCTTGCAATTAGAAGACGAACCGTATTCTTGTTGATATAAAAGTGATTAGAACCCTAGGTTGAATCGTATAATCTTATTCTTGGATTATCGGGTGGGGAAATCGCATGTTTGGGTGTTGATTATATTTAGGAAAGCATGATAGGTTATGTGCCGTTCGTTTCTTGTATTTGATTCGTTAATTGTCTACGTGTTGTCATTAATTGTGTTGTAAAGTGTCTAAGCATGGTTTCGGGTTCCATAACGGTTCCCGGGGCGTAAAGTGTGTGAAAGGAGTCAGTGGGGGGTAGGTGGGGGGTAGGGGACCCGCCACCTACCCATGGCCGTAAAACAGCGCCCGGCAGCGGGTGGCCGGCGGGCGGGCAGCTGCCCGCCGGCGACCCGCTGCCCGGAATAGTAGAATCCGGCGGGCAGCCGGCGGGTGGCCCACCACCCACCGGCTACCCGCTGGAAAATTGTCCCACCCGGGACCCCGGCTTCCCCGTTTAACGTTCCCCGTTCCCCGTGGTGTCCCAACGGACTCCGTTTATCGTGCCTATATCTAGTTTGATGTTTCGGGTACCGTTCGTAGGTTTATGAGTCTATTATATTGCATGCTAGTTGAATTGGTATCCAGTTGACCTAGGTGGAAGAGGTATGAACCCCTTAGGACTATTCTTAGTAAGTGATGGATCACGCATAGGTTTTGTTATACGTTTTCTCCCCCTTCCTAATGTGTAATGTGGGTTGCATGTGCTTGCCATGTGTTATGTGTGTGCTACCCCAATTCGGTTGCGATCGGATTGGTTATCCTGAGCTGCGGTTCAGAAGCTGGTTGCGGTCAGATTGATACTCTTGGGCTGCGGTCCACCGTTTGGTTGCGATCAAACGTTTCTATACGAGCTGCGGTTCGTCCTTTTTTCCTGGCTGCGGTCAGATGACATTCTCTTGGGCTGCGGTCCACTGTTTGGTTGCGATCAAACACTATGATGAGCTGCGGTTCATCGGTCGGTTGCGATCGACCCCTCCGTGTTGCGATACGGGGCAGGGTGCTGCGGGGCCGTGTCAGAGCTATATGCGCTGACCCTCATGTATGGGCATGCGATTGGTCCTGTGGCGCCAACAAAGTGTGCTATGTGTTGAGATATGGACGAGTGTGATTACGAGTGTCTTGGGGGATGTGACTACGGGATTTATGTTGGGGATTGTTGATGTTGAGTTATGACTATTGTTTATACTTTGCCTTATCTGCCTTATCGGTTGTGAACTGCATATGCTCGTTATAACTGTTGCTTGTGTCTGGCCTTATCTGTCGAGTCATTCCCAGTTTTAAAGCTAGAGTTCGTAGGATATATCTTCAT